CATTTTTCGTGAAAATTTAATATTTCGCATTTCTCGAGTTAAATTGATGTTCAGTTGTTTTTAGTTTTTCTGAATACTCTATATGTTTATAAAAAAATTTACTACAAATAATTAATATTAAATATTAAATTAGAAAAATTTTACTAAAACTATGTTACATCTTGAAGTCATTTTATTTCTTAAAATACTTATCAGTGAAGGATAACTAATCCTATGTATTCTATATAAATTAGTATTTAGTTCTTTTGTCCTATGAGCAACGTTTACAGTATTTAAAAAGAAGACAATTTACAATTTTTTTTTTTGTTTTATCTATTTAGAACCACTTTCTTTGCATTATTAGTTTTCTTTAAAAAAAAAAGTTTTCACTATATAGGCTTATTAAAAATAAGCCCTGTTGAACTGCACAATAGTCGTGTACTAAATAGTTTTACTCTTGAGTATAACATTCAAAATACGCCAACTCGAAGAAAGAACGAGCCGCCATTTTAATTTTTTAACTATTCCTTTTTGCTATTGAAGTTGGTTATTCGATAAATTCGACAGTGCTACCGCAAGGTTTCCAAATCCACACGTATAGACGCAAGCAATCAGAGGATACGCAAAAGATACCCTGCGGGAATATTTAGTATGTCTTTCGAGCTTTTATCAGCGTTACCAATGATTGTATTTTCAGTTCTATGAAGAGAATAATTGTACCTTTGCGTACCCGAAAGCATACAAAGAAAGGTTAATCACAAAAAATAGAACGAAAGGGTTATTTGTTGTACAAGTATATGGCAGCATGGTAGAGAAATGTAAATAAAGATTTTTTATAATCTATCTCCAACTACCATATATGTCCTCGAAAGTTATTATTTGGGACTGATTAATATCTAGTGTATCCTAAGGTAGCGTTAAATACTAATTCATTCCGAATTGTGCCTTGTAGTGAGAAATACGGTTGTGCTCTCCTAAAATATTACTCACTCGCAGGCTCTTGCTATGAAAGTTTCACCGCTTTTACAGATAGACTGTATAATTCTGCTCCAGATTTTATCAGCATAATTCGGGTATTTTCTACAGGGTATCTACAGAGATTTGCAGTTATATATATTTTATGTTTGTATGGTATTTGGTTTTACGTTTGCATATACATATATAAACGCAGGCTTAAGCGACTTGTCTGTATTTGTTATGCACACATTGCATGCCTACAAATATACGCCACCATACTTACATCCACTCATCTACATAGTTATATGTCTGTGGGTACATCATATACGCAAATATTGTCCTGGAGAATCTAAAATGTCGCACCGCTGCCAGACTCTGTTGCTTCCTCCTACAACAACATTTGCATTCCTTCACTTCGGTTTAGCGAACGTATCAAGCTTTTACGAATAATGCAAATATTTGTAACTGAGACATTAATTTTATGCTTACAAACTCTTAAGGTAGCCATGAAATATTTCATTTAAAATCACTTTTAATGCATTTATCAATAAAACAGAACACAAGTGAATATTTTTTGCAAAATTTTAAAAAATTACCACAGTTCATATCTGACGGGATAAACCTGATTATGCTAAATAATTGCTATCGAATTATGCTTCTTCAAAAAATCAATAATTGACTCAAATCATCCATCACACTTAGAAAGCACCAATTCAACAAGTCAAGTCCCACCGCACCGCTAAAAATAGTACCGTTAAAAGTGTTGTGGTGCGCATATCTAGGAACCAACTTCCCACAGGCATGCAAACTAACAGCTTCTACGAGTACTAAGCGCCCCACGATTATTAATTTGTACATGTGGGTATGTACTTATGTATTTGCAGTTGTGTGCGCACCTCAAGAGGTTTTTAGTTGTTATTATTAATTAAAAGTACAACAGCTTATTAAATAAAATTATTAGTTTTACCTATCGGCCATCGTTGTGGCATTATGATCTGCGGCTGGTATGTTCGCCTGCGTAAACTAGCAGCTAGGTAATTGGTGGTGCTTCTCGCTGTTGATACGAATACTCGTTGTTGACGCACATACACGTACATGCATTGCAACTACTCGTCACTCATAAAAATGTCTTTTCAATAATAAATATGTTCATATAAGCAACGCGCTTCGGGGGTCGCACGCTTATCAGTCAGCGTTTTCATTTTCGATGCATGTGAATGATATCACTCGATCCCATGCAGTTTTATTTATATGTGCACATATAAGTATTTTTAATCTTTTTACAATTCCACGGAATAGCGTACATACTCGACAGGCACTCGGTGGCTTGATAGGCTGATAGGCTGATAGGCGGTATTTTTCCTATGTAATTTCACTTATTTTCAATTTTGTTTGCCTTAATTTCTATTGAATAAGCTATTCGCTGCGATAAGTGTTAAAGTGCAACTACTCATGATATATATATGTATATACTTATATACAATACATATATATGTGTGTGTCATAGGCGTATTTGCAATTGTCAATGCATCAACTTGTCAATCGATCAACGGAAAAGCCCAAGCAATTGGCGACGTCTTCGGAAAAATGTTTGCTGCTGTACATTTATTTTGGTAAAGGGGGCTCAATGCTGCCTTAAAGACTTATTGTTATTGTTACTATTATTTCAATTTTTCTACGAATATATATAATTAGCTATAACAATTAATCTAGTACTGTTTTCGCAATAGCTATGAAAACTGGTCCTATAGATACATATATAGAGTTCTCCTCTTTCTTTGTACCATTTTAAACTAAAAATTTAAAGTTTTTTTAAATTATTTTTAACAATCATTCTTTCACATTTTGATACCCTGAATAGAGTATAATAAATTGGCGACGATGTTTGTAATGCCTAGAAGGAAACTCGGAGACCCTATAAAGTATAATATATATTAAAAATTACCAGCGTGACGAGTTCATGTACATAATCATGCCCGTCTGTCCGTTTGTCTGTATATACCCGAACTAGTCTTTAAGTTTTTGAACTATCGATCTAAAATTTATAACTCATCCTTTTCTCACCAAGAAGCTGCTGATTTGTCGGAATCATGCATGTGAATAGTATTATAGCTTCGGTGCAACCAAAGTAAACGTTTTTCCTTGTTTCTTTATTTGTAATAAAAATTAATAAATACTATGCACAAATATATGGCTTCTACCATGTAGTATAATATTTTCAATTTAATATTTTATAGACCCTATATAATCTATGTATATAATTGCAGATATCCCCCTTCGGTTATAATTCAATTCCGCCACTGCTTGCTTTCGCAGTAGCTGCATTCACTCTTACTCGTAATAGACACCACTAGATGATTGCAATTTATTATTACACCGTTGTTTTTATCAGCAATCGTTCAAATTCGATAAGATATCGTCGAATTCATCAATATTATTTATTTGTTTTCATTTCTCTTTCATAAGCACATACATATATATTATAGCATTGAAAAGACAACATGTAACGTGAAATCAATTGTTAGAGGTCAGTTGTGTTTCAAGCTATTTGCTTTTGCTATTAAATACATAAATATACACATTTGATAACGGACATATCCAACGCAAGGAAATTATTTATTAGTTTGAATCCAGTAATTGACCCCCAATGGATTATGATAACACTAAATGTTTTAAAAATAGTAAATATTTCCAAAGTAAATTGGCGCTTCAAGCACAATGTGCTTTGGAAAATGTTGATGTTTTTTAATCGTTTGAAGTCAATCAAACTGGGCGAATGGGGTACATATGCTGTATATACATAACTATGAGTATAATTATTGTATGTACATCTTTAGTCATACGGATTTTTAAGCCAATTCACAAAATGCAAAAAATTGGTGATCTTCATTTCCTAATAGATAATTTTTTATATGGATGAATTTAAAACAAAGATCGATGACCAAAAATTACGAAAAAAAACATTTTAAATGGCAACAAATTTGTGATTTTGCGAACGCATTTCTCAAAAAATCAATAACCAAATATTGTGAAAATTTTTTTTTAAAAATATTCCTTTATCATTATATTTAGAAATATTTATTTCTACAGCCATTTTTAAAGCAAATTCCGCAACAAACTAATTCAACCAATAGAAATCCGGTATTCTGCGTCACAATTCCAACGAAATAAGGGGAACAGCGGAAGCAATCTCGATGTAAGAAATTGCTGGGTATTTATAAGGAATTTAAACACAATAAAGGAAAAATGAATCGAAGCACTTCAGGAAACAGAGTCAAGATAACGTAATATCTTTAGAAAAATGTCCAAAAAGTCTGGGATTTTTGTCTGGGCAATATTTAGAAAACCTCGCGAATGCTCTAAATTAAAAAATCCTTCACTTTTATATGTATTATTTGTATATAAATAGTATTCATTGGCGTGAAAATTAACCTGACTTCACTCTTTTCGAAACGAGTTATTAATATACTAAGCGTCGCACTTTACGCTTGCCGTAAAGTGAAACAATATCAACTAGATGCAAATAAGAGAACAATTTTTTTTTTTGTATTTCAAACATTAAAATAAGATTTTTATTAAATTTTAACTAGTTTTAGAGTTAATCATTATCATTACTCGTAGCATGATACTTTTTGTATCAGCTGCTATTACTTCAATATTAATTACGATTAGGTATATCGGACATACACTATTGTAGGTTTACATATTTATAATATTTATTTCTTACACAACTATTCACATGACTAGCATGTGGGGTGTTTTGCTTTATACATAGAAAATAATAGAAAAAAATTACACGCCAATCACATCGTTCTGGCCGTACCTAAGCACACGACGCTGCAGCTACACATCACTGTGCACAGCATTAACAATTCAAATTTGCTTTGTGAATAATTTTTATGTAGACTTTTTTGCATTTTCTAGTTTTCTTTTCCTTCTTACACAATTTAACAATTGTTTTACTGTTCTTTTTTTTTTTGTTTTTGTTTTAGCTTACATAAGATGTATTATTATTTGCATGTGCTTACATATTATCTGTTTAATGGTATATACTTGTATGTATAATTATTTAGGTAACCTAACGGATTAACCGACGTCATTCGTTCATAGTTTTTATTGCATTTAGCTAAGCTTTCGTGAAAAATTTTTTAATTTATTTGCAATATTTTTTACATACATACATTCCATTTTTATTAAGTTGATGTACTTTCATTGTTTTGGTTTTTGCTATTGTTTTTTATTTGCATTTAGTGTGTGTGTGTTTTCTTACTGCGCCTGCAATTTAATGTTTTTAATTTTAATTTAATGGCATACTTGCAACTTTGTTGCATTTTACAAGCAGTTTTTGCATATTTACCAATTCTTTGCTCGGATTTTTGATTTTTTTTTATAAAAATGTATAAGAAGTCAGCTAAAAATGCATGGTTCTTGCATTTTTGTGCAAACTTAAATAATTCTAGGCATTTGTGGATTTATTTTATTTACAAACATATACATAATGATATACACATTAGGCGTGCGCTTTTTTATTTAAATTTATATAACAAAAAAAAAATTTAATTATTTTTCACGTATTTACATAATTAAAAAATTGTTTAAAAAAATTAATTATTATTTTTTACGTATTTACATATTTAAAAAAATGTAATATGTGCGCAGTTATCAAAAATAAAAATATTTATATTTTGTAAAATTTATCAGAACTCAGCAGCATATACATACATACATGCATGCGCATAGTAACTATACAAAATTGCATTTTTAACATTTTTACATACTTTTGCTGTAGTTCAAGTTAACTTTTTGTCAAAATTGTGTTAACTAAATTGCAGCGCATACCAAATTGACGCACACATACTTGACTGAAACTTTTCTTTTTATTGAAATTTTAGTGTTTGGAATTTTTGCTAAAAATTGTGTTGTAATTTTGCTGAAAATCTGAAAACGCATATAAAGAAAACACATTTCTGTAAACACTTTTGTATATATATATATTTATATTTTTAAATTAATGCAAGCAAAACAAAAATACATTGAATTATGTACAAACCTAATGTATGCATATGACTGCTCACTTTTTGCAAAAAACAAAAATTATTCTGTAAAATTAGAAAAGCGCATCGTACTGAAAACTTAAAATTACTAAACCGTTAAAATAATTTTAGTTATACATACATTTTTTGAAGATTCTTTTTTTTTTGGTTTTTGATCATTTCAATTCGAATTTGGTTAGCGTTAATCGACTCGCGATCACGTGAATTTTCCACTTACATATATAAAAATGTTTTTTTTTCTTCTTCAAATTTACATCAATTGCACTTGCATTGTGTTATCGCGAACATATCAAAGTGTTTGGCGCATAACATGTCTATACTAAAAAGCATAATAATAATAAGAGATAGTAAACTTATAAAATAAGAAAAAACTGTTGAATGAAATAATATTTGTGATTAAAAAACTAAAAATATATTTGCATAATTAAATATACAACACTTAAAAATTAATATTTTGTATAAAAAATTATTTCTTTTCATATTTTTTCTTGCTTGCTTTGAAGATTTCTTCATTTACCTATGCATACACAAAGTGTAGTGTTTACATACATGGCACTGAAGTTGTGTCAAATTGAAAACCTGCCAGGGTTTATCTGTGAACTTACTCAAAAGACGCACTTAAAGCTACAAATAGACAGCAACAAAGAGCTTAAATGCACATGCGCCTAAATTGAAATTGAATAAATTTATCTTTACGTACGCGCAATATATCAAATATTGGTCGGTGTGTGGAACTTTTTATGAATCAATCATAATTTGAAATTTATTTTATTATTTATTAAAATGGAAAACATTTTCGCTTACAACTACATCACTTTTGATTGCTGCTTATATGACGAAGAAATTCAGCTGCATTTTACATACATACAAACAAAAGTACAGCAAATGTTATTTATAAGGAAGCTAATATGCGCAAATTGAACATATCTACAAGCTCAAAACTGACACTGATAGTCAAAAGATAAACGTAATGAGATACAGTAGTTTAATTAAGGCTTGTAAGGAGACATGTTGTGTGGAACAAAATCATACAAAAGTGAAAAATAATAAAGAGTATACCTAGACTGCATACATATTTACATCATCTTCATTTGGAAAGTTATGAGTTATGTGCATTGAACCATAAATATGTATATGCGAGCAACGTTCTCACCGTGCGCGCACATCCGCGCTTGTCCTTTGCCGCCTGCGCACAACAACGCGCCAAAACTAGCACTCAACGCCGACGTCGACAGCATAACAGCACTGCAATATGGCAGCGGAAGACCAAACCTCGCCACCTAAACAAACGGTGTAATAACTGGCGTACGCACGCATGTCACCAACTGTACGCTAATAGCTACAACAACCGCTTATAGGCAGTTTGGCAACAAAGCGCCGCCTTGTCATTGCACGCACATTCAGTGTTGGCAACACTACAGCAGATTTTGTAACGCTGCCGCGCCATTTAGCGCCAAACCGTGGTTCCAGTTGCGATAGGAGGCGGCCGCCGCGTACTGTTGGTAATTGTTGTACAATTGCTGGTGCTGTTGCTGCGCCGCCTGTTGTAGTTGCAGTTGTTGTTCTTCGTTCAGATCGGTTGTGATGTTCGATGCGTCATCCTGTAGTTCTGGTGGCGTCAACTGACTTTGCAGCAATTGTTGTTGGTGCGCGCTGAGTTTGTGCGCACTGGAAGCACTGCTAGCGCTGTGTTGTTGCTGTTGTTGGTAATGCTGTTGCATGGACTTAAGATAGGCCTTACGTTGTTGTTGTTGCATCAGTTGATGAGCCGCATGCGGATGCGTCAATTGCTGATGGTGAGGATGATGGTGCGTAGCGCCATGATGATGATGGTGATGATGTTGCTCTAGGTGTATATCATGTGTATTCCCATTGCTGTTGCTGGTGCCGCTGCCACTGCTGCTGCCAATATTGCCACCAATGTTACTATTGTGCAGCGTATTGAGACCAGCAGCTGCTGCTGCAGCCGCGGCGGCACTACCAAAGATGCTGCTGCTACCACTGGCGGCGTTCACGTTCACGTTGCGCAGCATCTGGTCAGCTCGCCCTTAAGCCAATGGGTACTGGTGATGTCACAAGCTAGTCGTGCCGGCTGGCGCATGATAGCCGAGACTCTGGTAGTATGAATCCTGTCCTAAGGCCGCGTGTGTATTTGTCAATGGGCTGAGCGCATTATAGCCGGGATACTGACTCATATCGTACATCTTAATGTCCGCCTTAGACTCGGGTAGGAGTCGATTGATTGAGAACGGATGGCTGGATGGTGTGTAACCGGATGGTTCCTGCTTCAGATGATGCATGGAGGGGTGATAATCGCTGATCAATGATGGATGGCATCTATTCACCATTGCGGAGAGCTCTTCATGCTGCAGCTGGTGATGTTGCTGATGGTGATGGCTGGGTGCATGTTGCGCTGCCTGTTGGCCCAAGCAAAGCTCGGCATTAGCTTGCATCATAGCCAGCTGGTCACGACTGACAGCGCTGCTGAGCACACTGCCCGCACCACCCACTGTAGCGCCTGTCACGTCTTTACTGTGATGATGCTGCTGGTGGTTATCCAATCGGCTGTGATGGTGGTGTAGGTGATGCGAATCTTCGTGATCCTTTTTGCCGGGACTTGTTGCTTCGAGGCTGCTATGTGACGGACTCTTATGGAGCTGGCGTAGCGCCTCCTTCTTCTCATCCTTGAAACGTTTCTGTCGACGCAAATAACAGCCATTCTCAAACATATTGCCCGAATCTGGGTGTAATGTCCAGAAGGAACCTTTGCCTGGCTTGTCCGGTGTGCGTGGTATCTTCACGAAGCAATCGTTGAAGGACAACGAATGACGTATAGAATTTTGCCAACGCTGTTGGTTTTGACGATAGAATGGAAACAAGTCCATTATAAATTGATAGATTTCCGACAACGTGAGCATTCGTGTCGGATTATTCTGTATCGCCATTGTGATTAGCGAGATGTACGAGTACGGCGGTTTGGCGTGTGTGTAACTCCGACGGTATGTTGTGGGCTTATCTATGCGTGCACGATTTAGTGAGTTCGGTGAACCTGTGTCCAATTCACGTGCACTAGCTGCTGCCGCCATAGACGAGTAGCCACCCATAGCAGCCATTGTCGACATACCACCACCCATACAATTGCCCATATTTCCCAACGGCGAACCCATCGAGGCATAACTCATCGAGCTCGGTGTCATGCAATTGCCAGCCATGGAATTCATAGCCGCTGCGGCACCCATGCTACCGCTCATGCTTGCCACCGCTGCGGCGGATTCCAACGCACCAAAGGCGGCAGTCTGTGGGGATACTGAAGACATGCCGCCGACGGGCATGGCCATCGAATTCATAGCGGTATAAGCACTACGTGCAAGCGGGCTCATTGTGCCGCCGTTGCTGGTCGGGTGATTTGGATGCGGATTTGAAGGATTTCCACCACCGCCTCCACTAACACCTCCGCCTCCACCGCCACCATTAGTACCACCACCGGCGCTACTGGAACCACCACCACTACCAGCGCCGACGCTGCTGCTCATGCTCACCGGAGGCCCGTTGCTTGGCGCCTCCGAGTAGAGCTTTTGCATGATGTCGATCGTCGTCTGGTGGGGCGATCCCTTCAGGAAACTGTTCAATAGTTGCGCCGTTATGTTGGCGGCTGTTCACTGGTCGCACGTATAAAAAATACAATTTAAACAAATTTCCGACGGAAATAAACGACACGCACACTCTTTCACAGACGAGCTATGCTTTACGATATTTTTTAATTGTGCTTGCGCTACCAAGTGGGGTATATTTTCAAACTCAGTTTTCCGTAGAAATTGTTTTTATTATTTTTTTAGATTTTTATTTTTGCTTTTGTATGCATAGAGATACAATCGCATGTTTCATCCGTGCTCACTTGTCAGCGTGTTTCGACGTGGGATTTCGCACTCGTTGGAAAGTGAGTTGTTGCAGCGCGCATGCACCAGGTCTGTAGCTGCTGTTTAGGCTTTGATACAGCAAATCTGCTGGCAATATTGTCAATTTTTGCTTAAATTCAAGACTTGAAAATCAATTGCGATTACCACTTTCTTTCACAAACACTTTTCTTCTTCGGGTTTTCACTTCAACAGAATTTTACTCTTTTCATATGCTTACAAAAACGTTTGCTTTGCCACCAAACCACCTTACCACCTTTTCGTCTTTTTATTTATTTATTTATTTATTTTTTTTTGTGACGTATCTTCTACTATTATTTATATTATGTATTAATTTTTTATGCGCGTAATTTTTCTAGCGAATTCGCGTTGTGTCAGTTCGTAAGTAAAAGAATGTTCTTTCGAAATTCGGTATTCTACTTTATTACGACACTAAAAATGACGCTTCGACAATCGGTTGATAGGATTAATATCAATTTGTGCGGATGAACGTGTCGTACCGTCAGCCGCGATAGCCGTACACTACAGTTAGACAATGCATCTAGCAAACAAAGACTCCAAAAATCGTTATAGAAAATAGCAAAGCCAAAGCAAGCGCTTCCAACCTGACTCTAGCGTTTCACAATGCAGTTCGGTTATCGGTTGTCCGTTTCTACTTTTTCGGCAGCTGTGCGCGTTCGAGTACTCTTTGGCTTGAGCTCTTGAATGTGACTGTTTGCAGAGGGGAATGCCTGCTTACTATTTGGCTTACTAACAAAAATATTAAGCGACGACGTATAACGACAGCAGCGGCAGTCGCAGCAGAATGGACAGAGCACCAGAGTCCCACCGCACATCCAATACGAGCGGCAGCACCAGCAAAACCCAGCGCTACAGCGCTTGCCTATACACCTATAGGCCACTCTTGTGTACATAAATACAGGTATAGGTGTGCGAATGTGTGAGTGCGCCGGCATACTGGTGTGCACTTCGGTGGTGACAAAACTGGCTCTGTGCGCTCGCTCAGCTTCGTTTGCGACTCGTTTCAGGCGTTTGTTTTTATGCCGCGTTCGTGCTGATGCGTATATGTGTGCGCGAGTTATGTTTCCCTCTATGAGGCTTGAGCGGCCCACCCTTTCACGTATACTGGCGTACAAAATGAGCGTTGATAAAACCGATAGGAGTTAGTGTGCGCGTAAGCGAGACAACTACTGTGTGCTAATAGCGTCGCTTCAAGTGGCTCTCTTGCGTACACATAGCGTTGTGCAGACGCAAATAGACGTACACCAACATCAACCGCATATTTGGCGCCGTTGTGGCCGCCATACACTTTACCTGCAAACAGCGCACGCGCATTGGCTGCTACTTGTTGTTGCACAGCAGCATTTTGTCCAACTGGTCGTTTGATGCAAAGCACTTGGTGTTGTTGTAGCGCAAGGGCTTGAAATGCAGTTTGTATCTGCTGCTCATCGGTTGCCAAGACGACGTGGGCGGAGCCATAATGCTTGGCACGCCCACAGCAGCATTTAAAAACAACGGACGGCAGCAAGCACACTAACACAAACGCGCAGCGCATACTATGCTCTTCACTTCCAATTGTCTACTCTCTGACAGTTTGACGTTTTCCATTGCGACGCGCATTGCGCGACGTGGGAGCGGCAGCTAATATGACCCCACCAACATTGGCGTAGTTGAACGCACCTTCGAAGTGTACAGATAACCAGTCTTCTAGCCTGCACTTGGCACACCGCAACTATGAAATGCTCATTGATTGCTTTTAATTCCATTTATCGGCGTCTTTGCCGGTTTCTCCAACTACTGGGCCTTCTAACTGCGCTCGCTGCCGCAATCAATATTTGCGTGCTCTTCAAGCACCATTCGCACCTTTCCATTACACACCCTGAATTTTATATGTTGTTTTTTTTTTGACATTTTCACCTTTCGATATTCGAACGCTTACTTTGATTTCGATAACGCTGTCATAGTTTCTCTGCGAAGACGAAACGTTTCATTAGCACAACGCATGTCGATCCGTTGATAATAACTGCAAAGCCAACTGCTGTTTGCTTAGTGCAGAGAAGAGAATCGCGTCGGGACAGCAAAGCTCTATTCCAAGAGTAGATGAAGAGGCCGCGCGCTGTAAAGGCGACGTGCTAATATTTTTCGGACAGGCAACTTACAGCGGCGGCGGCGGCGGCGGCGGCTTTCAAGCAGCAACGCTGTCAGCATGTAGTGGCAGCAGCTGCAGCACCAACAACAATGACAATTTGAAATAAAACAAACGCGTTTGATTTGAATTGAAAATTGTATGGGACATTTTTGTTGCTGACATCGAAGCCACCGCGCCTCAGTCATTACAGCAGTTGTTTTTTGTTGCTACTTTTCAATATCATTGCTCTCCTTCTTCTTGCTGTTGTTTTCACTGACGCTGCTGATATTCTATAATTTTTTAGTGAATTTTTAATGCAACCGCCTTGTGTTGAAATTTTCGAACTTGGAATGTGCCATTTTTGAGGTTAAGGTGGAGGTTTACCAATGTCACATTCGATGGCGTAAGAACAAATGTCGTGGCGCGTATAACGTAGCAACATACAGGCGTCACGGTTTGTCGCATCTCGCCTTACTGCCAATTCGTTTGGTGCAGAACATTTGGTGTCGCCAGAACGTTTTCAACGCGCTCGCTTATTAGCTTCATTGTCGTTTGCAATTGCTGTTAATTCTGTGCTGCTGTCTTATTGTTGCTGTTGTTGTTGCTGCATAGATATTGTAGTGTTTTTGTGTGACTTCTGGTGTTGGATTTAAGTTTTGCTCATGAAATTTGGTCGAATAAAAATTTAATAAATTATATTTTAAATACAAAATGCAAACGCAGGCATACATACATACATATGTACTTATATGCAATGTCATTCGAGTTGTGTTGTAGTGAAAGTGTACAAAACTTGTGTGATTGTTATAATGACTGCTTTCCGTAAATTTATTTTTTTGATTAAACTATGTATTTAATTTATTTTCTGCTTTTAACTTTATTTTTAGTAAAAAGAAAGGTATTGCTCCTTTCTAACATAAATCGCACAAAGCCATTGAAAACGCTAGTGAGAGCAACGAATTGAGTAAAGAGTGAATTAAAAACTAAGGAAAGTTTAAAATTGAGAAAATAAAGTTTGAATAGTGTGTATAAAAGACAATTAGAGTTTGTTTAGTTTCAAAACTTTAAAAAATCAGTGTCACATTTGTTTAATATCAATGGTGAATTAGTCGTTTTCGAAAATTGATTACCGAAACGGAAGTGTATACAATGCGAAACTGTTTTTTTTCAACAATTTCGAAACTAATTTCCACTCATAGATAACTCAGTTAGTTGACATGGAGATTATGGTAAAAATTTTACCTGAAATTTACCTAAAAAGAGTTTTTCTGCGACGTGCCTCAAACTGTGCGTATATAATTGCCTCTTGCACCTGTGTTAGAAGCCTGACCAAGTCTTTCTGCGACGATAATGTCTTACTTGTGTTAAGCCAACTATGAATGGCTGACTGATTTTCTAATTTTTATGAGAAGTGGTTAAAGCAATATTGAATTTATTGGTTTTTGTCAAAGTATTTTAAAGTGTATTGAAACCATTACTCAATTGGTTCAATCAGTTACAACAAGTTAAACTTTATACGCCTTTTACTAGAAATTGCATTTTTCAAATCGGTCGACGATTGTATTCGGATACTATCAGCTGATCCACTAACAAAATTGGCTTCGCTTTGCTTCGGACTTTTGGTTTGACAGATAAGATATGTCGACATAAAAAGTTTTCGTGGCGAAGCAAAATCGGAACAAAAGTGTATGCAACTTTCTCATTATTATGCTTTGACAAGCAGCTGTCGCCATCTTTAGTACTTATTTCTGTTATTACTTGTATATGCTGATATATATATATATATTAATTTTGCCACGATGTTTGTAACACCCAAACGGAAATGTCGAATACCCTATAAATGATCTGCGTGACGAGCTGAGTCGATTAAGCCAAGTCCGTCCGTCCGTGTATATATATTAGTGTTTGAGATATTGATCTGAAATTTTGCATCCGTCCTTTTCTCACCCAGAAGCTGCTCATTTGTTGGAACGGCTGATATTGGACCAGTATAGCATAGAGCATACAAACTGAACGATCGGAATCAGACATTTTTTCATTTGAGGAGATATTTTCACCAAATTTGTTCAGATCGAGTCACTAATCGATCACAGTGCTTGTAAGCAATCATTTGTATTTGTGAAGAGTATTATAGCTTCGGTGAAACCGAAGTTTACGTTTTTTCTAGCTTCTATTATTTATTGATTGGAGCGAAATAAAATTTGAAAATATAGTTTTTATAGTTTAGAAAAGAAGACAACGCGAGATTTTAAATATAAGAGAGAAGCGCCGAAAGATGAACATTAATTTGACACACCTAAGCTGTTTTGTTTTGAAGTCATAGTATTAATTGTCAAGCAAAGCGTGAAGAGTTATGTATATGTAAATCAGGGATTCTTGGATTTTCGTTCCGAAATGAAATCGTTTTCTACAAGTTCGCTATTTTGAAAAATTTATGGTAAATAATACGAATACCCAGAATCACCGTCTACCGTAGAGACTTGAATATGGTGATTCCGTATTTGGATCAAGTGACTGCCATTTTGTATCAAAATTTCTATATACATATGTATATATTTTTTATACACGTATGTACATACCATATATGTTTAATAGAACCTAAAATAAAGAAATTGTATACCTTGTTCTTTAATCTCAAAATAAATCCTTTTTTGAAGGCTCTAGACCGACCCGGCTCCCTAAGTAATATGTGCAGGGGTTTGCCGTTCGATTTTGATTTCTAAACCTTTATCATTAATTATTGGTAGGGTTTGCTCTCTCTAAGCATTTATGTGTGTATGTCCGCGTGCAACGTTTAGTAAAAATATTTACAAAATAGAACAATGAACGGTATTTTGTAGCTGATACATGCATACATATGTACACATGTGCTCCCAGTTTTGCAATTACGGATTAAAAATCTTAGTTTCAGCACAGCGAAAGGGTTAAGTTTTATAAAAATTACGTTTGTACGTGTATGCTGTAAACCACATACTTATACATATGTATTATATATATCACAATGGCATATGTATGTTTACTTAATGCATAATTAGCACACCCATTATATGACCTTCAGAAATTAGGATGGACAAAGCAAATTTGTTATACCTGCGTGTATATGTATGTATGTATGTAAAGAATAGTTACAGAAGGTGTCAAGGCACTTACAGATAACAAAAATATAACCATAATCCATTTATGACCATGCAATAATGTGGTAAAACTTTAGTCTACGAAAGATAAATAAGATGTTTTGTTGTTCGCTACTACGTGGCTCCTAACAGCGATTGCAATAATGAGCAACAGCATCCCTGCTGAAGGTAGTTCAATGCAAAAGCGAGCCGGAAATAACCAACAATTTGACAAACGTTTCTGAATGAAGAAGGATAAGCGCAAGTTTTACTACAAAGGCCACAAATAAGTATCTATTTTAATAATCTATTTAGATCATAATAGCCAGTTAATGGCTTTTAAGTGCAGAAAGTATATTTAATACTTCGAATAGAGATTGAATATTTACCCTATAGAGTCTGTAATGTTGGGTTTCCCAAAAAGTACGTGCTATAAATTTGTTTAGACACATTTTAATCTAAAAGTAACCAATTTACTCAAATTTGGACAACTAAACTGCGCGGGTAATTGTGGAATCTGCACTTATTTCTTAGATAGGTTCAATTTTATAGGAAATTCGTGTAAAATTTGAGCATGATATGGATATGGCATATAGCTGCCAAACAAACTGAACGATCGGAATAAAGTGTTTGTATGGAAAACTTCTTCATTTTACGAGATATGTTTACCAAATTTGATATTATTGTCCAAGGTAACTGTGCAATCTCCAACGAAGTTCCTCAGATCGAGTCACTATAGCATACCGATCAAAATTCTTGTACGGAATTGCGAAGGGTATTCTAGCTTCGGCGCATCCGAAGTTATTTTATTTTTCTTTTTTAATATTATATCATCACTAATTTCTAATTTGTGGGGATTACTGCTGGAAGTACTATGTACATAGAAATGCATATATTATAAACTTATTCGCGTCCTTTTCAAGCAGCACTTTTGTCTAAAAAATGCAAACAGTTATTTGATAGTAATATTGCTAATTTTTTCACATTCTCTATCTAACACTTGCATCGCTACTAATTTAAATGGCAACAAAAATATTTAACTTGAAACTTAACAGTTAACAGTCATTATGAAACGAAACTATGCGTTATATGCAAATTAAGTGGACTACTTGATAAAACGAAAATACCTTATTATTGTGACATTATTATGTAACACTTTTCATTATATGATTAGTTAGGTATGGAGGTACTACGAGTATATAATACACTTAACTAATTTTACATATTTGCTTGTCGCAACACCATGGATTTCTAATTAGGTAGTGTTATTTATTGCATAACCTTTGTTGTTTGTGCTCATCATTCCTATTGTTTACTGTTTCAATTATTTGCTTTGCTACTCAGTTGTGAGTTTTCATACAAACTAGACTTAGAAGAAGTCTCAACATTTCATACAACATAATCGCTATATATACATACATATTTAGCTATTTACTAATTTCTATTTGTTCAATTTATTTATACGAGAGCTTCTAGCAGCCGCAACACAATGCGACGCGTTTCGAATACATTTTCACTTTTTTCCATATTTTCGTATAAAATCTTAAAATTCGCTGCGCGCTTCTGTCAAGTGTCAAGTCCTCATATATGTTTCTATGTGTGCGTGTAAGTGTGTTTGTTGTATGCATCGATTATTGCACAGAAAATTGTTTTGTTTATTCGAGACATTAGTACACTCACTGATTGAAGAAGAAATTCAAATATCGCCAGCAATTAAATAATCTCTAATGAGTATCGATAATTAATTTAATAGCAACTACTCGTGCACATATCAGCTATATACTAATATGTACTTATTTGCCTCATTGTATGCTAGTATTTAGATTGATTAATCTGTGTGTTGTTTTGCTAGAGGTGTTTCGTTGTCAATAAAATATGAATATACATACATATATAATATATGTATTTTAATTTGTGTCAAAATTTTAAACAAATAATAAACAAATGATTTAGTAAAATAAATGGCAACAACAACAGCAGCTGCAGTAACAGGCACAGCGGTGTATAAATATATAGATAAATTCATAGTTACTATATACATATGTCTATGTACCATATATTTTTGACTTTGACTTTGATGGCCAAAATCAAACCGGCATCAATGAAATTTTTGATTTTACGGCTGAATTGTTTGTTATGGTCGCGCGCGGGATTGAATCAAATACGGAAACGGGAATTGCAAGCAGCTTTTTTACTTTGGAATTATAAAGGTTTCAAGAGCGCGCCTGCGCACATTTAACTACAAATTAATATACGTAAAACGTCTACTTTATTATATAATAATGCATATGTAAATACATAATAAACTTAAATAAATCAGAAAATTATTTTATTTAAACAATGTTTTTATTTTATTAAAAAAAAAAGTGCAATATTTTAAAAAAAATTTATGTGAAATACATTTAAGCGGTTATAAGCACTTGTGAATATGAGAAGATAATTTTATTTTTATTTGTTGATATATCGAATGTACATATATTATATATGAAAATAGTATTCGATAATTTGAAGTTTATCTGAGAACTAGTTTTGAAGATTTGAGCATATGTAAGATTTTTTTATTTATATTGTAATCGATTACCAATGCTTTAAATGCCTTCTTTTCGAAACGCTGTTCTTAGAGTCGGTGAGGAGACCTTTTTAAATATATTTTTCAGATAATGATCGAGGGAATAAGATTTCTGATAATTATTTCGATTTTTTTAGCCACTCTGCAGTGTAAATTTTATCATACAAAATGACGTTTTTCTTTGGGAAGCCACAATTTTGTCAAAAATCAGAACTTTGACTAGTCCTTTGAGCGTTACTCGAATCCATCTAATAATTTAACTAATAATAATTATTTTTTTGATTTCGGATTTGAGATAATTTTGAGCAGAAAAATGTTACTTACCACCTGACAAATATTTTGAGAGGTGCTCAACTAGATCGGCTACGGGATCGAAGGAAACCAAAATTTTCAAAATGAGTCGCCTAATATTAAAGTACATTAAATTCTATAAATGCACATAATATTTTGGTTACTAAAAAAGCCTTTTGTTTAAGAAAAACTAATCCAGTGTGCTATTGTTTAAACACAATCAATAATACCAATGTGTAAAAGTCATATCAGTTTGCTTTATACTACTATAAGAGTTATGCTAGTACCATTATCATATACTAATAATTTATTTTTTTATAAAAATTGCTTTCGATTTCATAGCATATTCTCTTCTACTTTACCCAAGCATAGTGCTTAAATGCCGCCGCCAAAATATAACGTCAACGAGCTGGGACACGCGTTATATTCCACTAAAAATCTAATAAAATTTCACAAGTTGTAATGAAGAAGGCGAGATGAAAACTTCTACACCAATGCTCCTTCACTGTTTAGTCTAAGGTTGAAAGATATCGTTGAAAGATATCGGTTGTCATACCTTTAGCGGTCTAGAAAAGTTGGTTAAAAAAAAATAAATTTCCTTGTTATCAATGTACATATATGGTTATCAAGTTAAAAAAAAATCGAAACTGCAAAAATTAAGAAAAGCTTTTAGTATGTACCTGTATATATATCGTGTTACATTAAACTTCAAAAAATGTTAAACTAGAGTCGAACTTCTCTATTTCGAATTTATGTACCACGAAATTTGTAAAGAATTAATTTCCAGAACACTGCAATTTCATAAAATTTTCAGTATGTTTTGAACTTCTTATTACGAATTCGCTTATAGCGTGTTTTTATTTACAACGAATTTTTCCGACGCTCTTAACTTTAATTTTCATGCGTTATCAATGTCTCTGGAACGAGCTTTATTTCGATTTGTATTTCTTACCACAGGCAAACATGTATTTGGGGAAGTCGCTAATTCAAAATTTGATGATAAAAATCGATAAACGGATTGTTATCAGTACAACTGTGGCTTGTTATATGACAGGGTTGAAGAAGCTTAAATTATTATTAAATTATAAGTAATTTGTAACTGTATTTAATTTTTTAAATGTAGTGTACAGAGTTTCATTACGATATCTCTATTTTTACTCAAGTTACAGCTTGCATGGACGGACGGACAAACAGATAGTCGCTCGGAATACAACTCGTATCTTTTATATAAAATATGTATAACCCTATATCTACATTGATTAGTTTTGGGTGATAAAACAACCGTTAGGTGAACCAAACTATTATACTCTGTAGCAACATGTTGCAAGAGTATAAAAATTAATGAGCATTCAAATAGACCAGGAATAAGAATAACACCTAACTTGAAACAGCGCTACAGAAAGCAGATTTTACTGAGTATTTAAGCACAAATGAAGGAAAATAAACCTTTCTCAAACAATTCCATATAACGAGTTTTCTATGTGATGAAGTCCATTTTTATGCCCTTGAAATTTGCTACATATATGGAAGTTCGACTGCATATCCTTCAAAATTTACCCAAATATACGGATAATATTTCTGAAACTTAATATTGCATGTTGACAATTTATGAGATATAATAATAATAAATTTAAATGCATATTTAAAAATATTTAATGCTAAGCATTCTGCTTTCAATTACAGTATCAGTGTTATGACTCGTTTATTGAAGAATCGATATAAAAATACTTGAACGAATTTTATTATTTAATTTATGTGTGTCTAGCAAACCTTGTCTGGCGACTAATAAATTGGAAAAAAAAGAGAAAAGAAGCAAAAGTAGCTTAAGACAGCAAAACTAACAGTTTATGCCAACAAACAATAATGATCCACTTGAGCAGGCTTAAAAAAGTCATTTAAGTATATTAGCAAGGCACACATATTGATTTGTCTATGCACATAAACAAAGGTGCACACACACTTATACGCTTGTTTGTATATAATAATATTGTAAATATGTACATACATACATACAGATATGCAAAGGAAATAAAAAAGTTTCTCTCACCAAATCAAAATTAATGAATGAACTGAAAGAAACAAAATATTTATTTAACTATTTATTAAATAATTAAGCTTTGTGCAGCTCAAAACAAAAACTCCAACTCAATTCAATAGTCAAATACAACAAGTCGAAGAATTCATATACATATGAACATACATACATAAATAAAAATACGAAAAAAATGGTATTAACACAAAAAAGTCGAACTTAAGCAACGATGAGGCTTTCGAAAGCAAGGAAACTGTAGAAATGTTGCTATGTGTGAGGAAAGTTGAAAATGAAAATCGTAATGGACGACGGCAGCATATTGGTTGTGGAGGAGCGTGAGCTAAAGCGGCTGCGCTGAAGATGTCTACGAACAAATTACTCACACAAGCTGTCTAACGATGAGCCCAACGACAGACTACAAAACATATTCGCATATACATTTGGTATGTTGTTGTTGTTGTTGTTTTTTGGTTGCTGGAAAAAGAGAGTTTGTTTGGTAAGCTTAAGGTTTTTGACCGCAAACAAAAACTAAAAAACAGGGAATTGTGTGCGCTCTTTTACGAGACACTGCTGGCATTCAGCGGTAAACCACACGAGGACGAAGCACCGAAGCGAAATTGCAAACGAAATCGAGTTTTAAATTACTATGTATTCATTTTGAATGAGCCTTGAAAGAACCATTACTGTTACATGTACATAATTATTTATAAACTTCATTTTGTACATTGTACATACATTTTATGTGCTTTGTTCGGAGAAATTTTGGGCTATAACTTCGCAAACTTTAAGTATATGTATGTAGATACATATGTATATGTTTTCTTACATGTAACGGTTAGTAACAAAAAAAAAAGTGTTTGATATGGTGTTTAATGCGATGATACAGACACCTTTAACACCTCTGCACCTGACTCTAATTCCATCAAGAAATGTTTTGGTATATTAAAGCACCGCAATTTAGTTTCGGTTTTCAACAATACTAAACCTACATTATAAAATTGGAAAAATTTCTGGAAAATAGCTTTAGCAGAACAACATTATGAACACGCGTTTTACTCCGGCTCAATACATTTGATGTTACCGCATCAGAATGTTGTAATACTGGCGACGCTGTAGATTAAAGACCGATATTTCGATGAACCTCGATGCGGATGAATTTAAAACCGATCGAATAACCGGTCGGTTATTATTAAGAAACATATTTGTTATGTCGAATTTGAAAGTTTGTTGATTTCGGCAGTATTTTTAATCAAAAAATCCAAAAAAATATTAGTATTATTGTCATTCATCCAACAAAAGCTATTCAGTCATATTTCTACTTTAAGAGCACGTGTTTTAAAATTCGTTTAACCGCTAAAGAATTTTTAAAATGCAAATACAATACATTTATAACTCTTTTTTCAAAATTTGCATTTATTTAAGAAAAAACTCTTCATTAGTATTATTTAAAATATTGTCCATCTGAAGCAATAACATTTTCCCATTTTTCGGATATTTTGTGAATTTCATTCCAAAAGAACTGCGGCCAGCTTAGCGGCCAGAATGAATCAAGCCAATTTTCGATACCCTGCTTTGATGTGAACCGTTATTCAGTAAGAGCGTTCTGTAACGACCTGAACAAATTGTATTCAGAGAAGGCAAAGTTTCGGCAATAAGGCGGTTGAGGCAAATAATCCCAACCGCTGTTTACCTTTTGCGTAGTTGCAAATTCCGGGCGTTTTTCGACAAACGCTCGCTTTAATTTGATGAATTGTTGTCGATAACGTTCTCCATTTATAGTTTCACTCGGTTTTAGAAGCTCATACATTCAGCACACCATTCCGATACAATCCCAGTCTCGATCCGAAGCAAACACAACTTGTTTTTGAAGCGCTCAAGCAGCATTTCTAACATGGAAAATCGTCTTTCAACATCTCTTGGCTTCAACTCATATATGACACGCAATGTCTTTTGCTTTTGAATGTATCCGACTACTTTTAAAGGTCTTGAAATGGCGGCTTGAGTGACTCCTCCACGTGATTCGGTGAGCTCTTCTTGTGTGTGGCAACAACATTCATCGAGTAATGCATTCAGTACCTCATGTTCAAACAAACCAAAATCACCTCTTTTATATCGTAGAAACCACTTTTGGCACAATCGCTCAGCTAGAGCATGTTCACCATACACTTCCACCAAAAGCGATGAATTTCGGCGGAGATTTTCTTCATATTAAACTATTGAAAAATAACTCCCCACAAACATTATTTTCTCAGGCATAAAGTTCGACATATTTGCTTGAAAAAAATTATTGTTGTCTAAGCTTCAATTGAATGACATATAATGAAAATGACACACAAGGACTATAGTTTTCCAAAGTATGTTTGAAATAACATTGGAATAATAATCAAGTTACATTATCTCTTGACAAATCGCACGAATATGGTTATAGACCCAATAATTAATTAATTTGTGATCACTATCAACCGTGCGCTTTAAGTTAAAATTTCCTACCTTACTTGCATACTCATCTGTGATTAATAATTTGATTTATTAGTGAGTGGGTGGCACTTTCAAATCGGAAGTGTTAATATTGGCGGCCTACTTACCATATACCATATAAGAATGTATAAGCGGATTTCTTTATTTGTTGTTTTAAACTTTAAGAAGAGATTGAAAATTGAAAACGCATGTAAATAAATATATACTTTAATGAAAGACAGTTGCAGAGCCGCCAAACGAAAATGCATTGATGTTGCCGCAAGGCTTTTGTATTCCAAAAAAGTCTTAGGAGAGCTTGTATGAATTTATATGTAAGTGGACCGACTAAGTGCGTATGAAAACAAATGAGTTTTTCGGCAAAACAGATAATTTAATTAATTTATTGATATACATAAATACATATATAAAGTGTACATTGGCATAATCTTACAAATAAATTCCACGCAAATATTTGTATTAATATTAAGAGGTATTCAATAATTTATTATACGTGTATATAACTGTAATATCCAAACTTATATTATTAGATGAATATATCCGCAATTAAGATGTATGCATATGTACATACATATGTATGTTTGTGTACATATATATATATATATATGTATATATACATATATGTATATGTGTACCTATGTGAAGTGATATTGAGATGGTGATAGCAATGTGTAACTAGTAACTAAGTGTAAATGCGTGCAAACAAAACCATAATAAAAACCGATAATGTTCTCTTCGAACAATGGATCCCTCATGAAAGACATCCTTTGTTTTATGACCGCATTGCACGTGTGTTCACACACTCACACACATACGCACACGCTTAGATAACTTCAATCGCAGCAGGTATGCAAACCGTTCTGCACACCAACACACGACCTCATACGAATTCGGCAGTGCTAGCGACCGCTGCGCTTTCATTCTCGCCTTTGTTGCACTAATAACCATTTAAAATGGTGCAAATGCAATATAATTCACACCAGAAACCAAAACAATGGATATTTAGAGCAATCAGACTAGCCGGGCAGCCACACGACCAAACCAAGTTGGACGAGACCGACGGAAAATGCTAACAAAGAGCTACTAGTTTAACAAATGCTCGTTTAAATTGAAAATCGCAATTGTGACTGCCTTATTTATGTGCCATGTATGCATTAGTTCGCACTTTGTGGACGCGGTTAAGTCGGGACATCGGCACTACTACTAACCAGCGGTCCAGTAATCAACACAAGCAAGTCACCAGGCATAAGTGTGTCCATATTACAAAACTGTTTGCAGGAACATAGTACGCGTATCTGAAAACATAAATAGTTTGGTAGATAGCAGCAGCTAATTTTTCTTTTTCATATGCCGCTTATTTGCATTTCGCATGGCATGCTCAATTTGGCCAGGTTCCTTAGACGGCCGTCAAGGTGCGCAGCATTGCGTCATAAGGATAGGGATGTGTGTATGTATGTGTACTCAATACAAATATATATATGTTGGAAAACAGCGGCGACTTGTGTACCGAATACCTAGTTCAAAAGAAATCTTTAGAAAAAATGCGCGCTAGTTGGCAATGGGAGTGGCGCGTCGGTTTGCGCATACATACATATATTTTCGTATAAGCATACGCATGTAGCTAGTTGGCGTCTACCGAAAAGCGATTGCGATCATTTTTACGGAATTTTCATATATGTTGTTTTTACATATTTTGTTGTTTTCAGAAATAGACGCATAACGCTTGTCGGCCGAAAAACAACAAAGCTGGCAAAACCGCCTGAAAATACTTACATACGTGAGTAGCAAAATTTACCTAAGAAAAAACCAGAAAAATATTCTTATCTAAAAATTAAGTATGACGCGTTATTTGCGTAGGTGTTTCATTTCCTCTGTTCTACATTGGGTATACATATGTATGTATATGCATAGATTAAATAACAATACCATTTGTATAACTCTTATTTTGGCTACCCTTCGCGGCTTTTAATTATAATTATAATTGTTTGTATAACTTCATTTGTTTCTTGGCATACTTTACTAAAATATAAATAATAAAACTGGTGCCAATTTATGCTTTGTCGGTTCTGACAAAGTTCTTAAAAATGGTGTGCCAGTTAGTTATATGACATTGTTGTTATACCCTTAAGTTTGCCACAAGGTTTGTAACACAAAAAAAAAAACGTCAGAGGCTTTATAAAATATTTTATATATGCAAATGACCAGCGTGATAAGCTGAATCGATTTGGCCATGTCCGTCTGTCTGTCTTTATGTACGCAAACTTGTCCCTCAGTTTTTCAGATGTATTTTGAAAATTCTCTTAAAATATTTGGATTTTTCGATAAACTAATTCATAATTATGACATTTTGTGTTTTATTCATACGTTTTCCCCTATAGAAATTAAGATTAATTAAATCGTAACAATAATATAAATTAATTTCTTAACTTACATTCCAAATCTGTCAGCGACTATCCTCTTGCTTTGTTTCTGATAGCAAAACTGATAAAATTGATTTCCGTGACAACCAAAACCGATAGAATTTCTGTTTCGAACGTTAAACTAATAATATCTGAATTTATGACACCTACTATATTTTTTTATCGGTTTCAATTCTGATTTCGACAACTATCAGATTCTTCTGATTGCAGCTAACACGACTTTCTTCTATATACATATATAAGATTACAAATCGTTTGTATGGGAGTATAAAAAAGTGTTGTTTTAGGCTTTTTCGGAAATTTTTTAAAAAATTTTTCTGCATAAGAATCATTCTCGTACTTCAAGCAATATTCTAAAAACCAATCAGTGAAATCGGTTCAGCTGTTCTCGAGATTTGCGCTTATCAACATATTCAGTGATTTATTATTATATTGTATTATAAGTAGATAGTATATTCGGTCATTCGATGCTATGTCTATGATATACATTAAATACTTTTACATATACAATAAACTATTTAATACAGTAAAAATATTAGTTACGAATGAAGGCGAACACGTAATTGTCGGTTTAAGAATCCAAGGGATTGTACTTGAGGTTTAATTTAGAAAATGATTGATACAAATATTTTTCGATGAAAAAAATAATGAATTTTTCTTTTGGCATTTTATTGAAAATTTTATTAAATATATTTTTATTAATTAAAAAAAAAAAGTTTATATTCAGATATATGTATTTTTAAAATTTGAGATTTAAACCATCCTGCCATTTATTTTGGATCAACCTGGTCACAGTGTGCTAAATTTTACTTAAATCGGTTGAGTAGTTTAGGCGATAACTCCGAATAAAACGTGACATGTAATTTTTATGTACATGTACATGTACATACATATATAGATAGCTTCAAATAGCAAACAAATTAACGTTTTTTAACAGTTAGTTTCAACTAACCTAATTGACGTTTATTAATTTATTAATCAAATCGCGATACGAAACATAACCAATCAAAGTCAATTGCTCAATACTTCAACAGACCAGCATAACGATAAAACGAGCTTTCAACAAGTTTATAAAGATTAATCAATGGTTTTATTAATAATTTATCATGTGGTCAAGTAGTCGTAACAAATTAATTTCACTCAATTCATTTGTTGCATTTTAGAGCACAGCGTTAAGCTGAAAAAGCTGAAAAATACCCAAAAGTACTAACTGTCGAACAAATGAGACGTCAACTCGATACTACATAAATGCGCACTCGTTCATTAGGTACAAACTTAATACTCCAGACTTTTGTAGTTAATTATTAACATCGTTTCTCTAGCTTCTCGTTAAGCACATCATGTGGCAGCATATAACCCGAATTGATGTACGAGCCAAGGTGTACCAGACTAAATACCCACAAGCACATGAAATTAGTAAGTACTAGTAAGTACTGCGTCCAAGTGCTCCGCAACAAGACGCCAAGCGCCCTGGAAAAATCCAAGCAATCCACAACAAGTCTACGCCAAGTCACCTCAAGCCCCATAAAGGTAGATAGTGTCAGCATGTTTTGATATATCACAGCGGACATAAAGATATAAAAGTACGATATCAATGCATACACATTCATACACACACACACAAACATACGCATTTGTAAGCATTTATGGGCACCACATTAGCGGATTCACATTGATACCACACAGATACGGTGCAAATGCGACAAAAATACCGTACGTAATAAGCAACAACACATGACTTTTTAATACCACTCAGACCTCGAACACCAGTCCCGGCAATCGTAATTATTATCTCTTATAAAAATATAAATTTTCTTATCATTGTACAAACAAACGTAAAATGTCTTTTGCTCATTTAATTAAAAGTATCAGAAATATAATGAAAAACCAAGTACAAAAACACAACCGACTGTCGGCCAATAATGAAGAGCACTATACTTGTACAGTTGAATCCTTACAGAGAATATTATTTATTCTAATTTAATGCTTAATGGCAATTTGTGAATATACTAAAATAATACCACGGTAATTAAAACTTAGCTCTAAGATTATGAACAGCTTTAGCTATAACATAGCGGCACAAAAGTTTGATTTTTTACTAAATTTACTGTGCTTTGTATATGTAGTTAATATAACAATTAAAAAATAAAAATATAAAATGAAATAATAGAAAAATTTAATAAAAAGTCATTTTTAACACTTTTCAGTTATTTATTTGTAAAAATTATTGGTGAAATCCTTGTTGATGTTTTCTGGTTTCCCACGGCTGACTGGTTCTCTATTTGCTGCTCAGGTCTGACATAGCGTCGGTGCTACACGTATATATATATATATACATATGTATATAGAGCCAAACCAGCAAACTAAAACTGAGAAAAGTGGAAGCCCAAGTCTTAAGTTTTCTTTCCTCCCTTTGTTTCAAGACCACACTCTATATAAAAACAAGAAAAATGTTCACTGCGGCTGCATCGAAGCTAAAATACCTATCCCAGGTGCATTTTTTACTAGAACATAAAAGGATATAAAAATATATTTTTCTTGATATTGATCGGTTAGTTTGTATAGCTAAATTATATTATGGTTATATGCTAAATTGGTTCGAACCTGGTCCGAACTTAATCCATGCAAAATTTTATAAAGATATCTTGACAAAAAAAAAGTTGTTCATACAAAGACTTGATTTGGTTCGATCAGTTTGTGTGTCAACTATATGACATAGTGGTCCGTATCGATGCTTAATGCAAATGAACAGCTTCTCCGGAAAAAAACGCCATGTACAAAATTTCAGATCGGCATATCAACTGAGGGTTTAGCTGACGTAACATTTATATGTAGTTTATATAGCGTTGCAAACTTCGTCGTAAACTTACTAGAACCTGTTCAGGGTATAATGAAATAGAATTTTTTCATACTGTACCATAATACACAAATGAAAAAATATCGACAACATCAGACAAACATTTTGTATCGAAAAAGTGAAAATATAAATTAATTTGTTCTTTTTCATTCTGTATTAAATTTTTCTCCTGGAATTTAATATGTTGGAGATTTTAAACACGAGAACTCACTTACTCTTACTGTGATGGTATATCTATTTTTCAATATAATCACCAAAGGTCGCAGGCAATTTTAATATACATATGTATGTCTTTAGTAAGCACTAACTAAAATCTTACCATGGTGGTGTGCTCGTCTAACCGGTACTCAACTTCGAACGCTCTTGAATAACATAATCTGAATATACTCAATAAAATTCAATCACCATTCAGGTATACGATTTTTATATGAAACCAGATTTCTAGGAAAACTTTGTTCTTCTTTTTAAAATTAACATTATTTCTACGAAAAGTTTTTTGAAACCAATTTTAGGAAATTTAATTCAAAACTACACAAATCCAGATGCGTTTATTATGACGATACGCGTATGTGAACATATATGTACTTCTTTCTTTCTTTTAAGCTTAATTCGATTCCCATCAAAACATACCATGTGGTGGCAGAAAAGTATTTTCGATACGCATGTAACTTAGCACCTTGTCGCTAATTATTTATTCGTTTCCCGATAAATTAACTAAGCGCTTTTTTAGCAGCAGCACGGTTGTTGTAGGTGAGTACTTGTATGTTTGTAAAAATGTCAGTACCAGACATTGAGTGAATTGAATTTGGTAGTTACCAAGCTCGAATCTAGGTAATACATAATGAATGTATTTATTTCACATTTATGTGTTTAAAATATTAATAAAAACTTGTTTCTTCATTTAAATAGATTTTTTTGATTTGATGAGCATTGTTAAACGCAAAAACGATGCTCTATAAAAAGACTTAATATATTTTGTGTAAGTAGTGCAATGCTTTGCCACATGTATATTAATAATTGGATTTATTTGTATATATATATTTTTTTTACACAAAACCTACATATATTTATTAGAAAATCTATTTTATTTATGCATATTCATATGTTATAGAAATAATTAATTAATATGGCGGTGGCACGTAGTGGCTGAAGCAATAAAAAACAATTCGGCAATTCTTGGAATTTTTGTTTGCTTATCTATATTTTTCTTCGTCCAGCTTAAAATGTATATAAAGTTCATTGATTCATAAGAATCGATGATATTTGATCCCAAAATTCCATTTGCTTTTTCCCTTGCCTTCCAAAGTTATCAAGTTATCAATGGAATAATGATACTTCGAAATAATATTGTCAAATAAATATTTTGGGCCGACTCAGCTTTAACCTTTAACCGACATTACAATATTTCTTCTAAGTGAATTGCACGTTCTCTAAGTTTAAAGGTTTTAAGAGGTACACCTTGTGTAAAATTAAAAAATAAAAAATTTAATTTTTCACATTTCGATAGCTAATACTTTTGAAATAATATACTCAAATTTTCAATCGATGTCTCAATTAGTTTTTGAGTTACAGCCTTCGAAAGTGTAGTCACTCAGTCCAATCAGCGGAGCAGTTTATTTTTAAACACATTTTTTTCAAAACTGCATTTTTCATATTTCCTGCAGTAATTACTCGGAGACAAATGATCCGATTACTATCAAATAAAGACGCAACAGTTTTTTGTTCTAATCAAAAATCAGATTTTGGCACTTCAAAAATGAAATAAATTTGTGTAAAATTCAATTTTATATAAAAACGACAAATTTTTGCTATTTTTGCGATCTTAGGTGATTGTATGGAGAATGGCTTTTAGTATAGAAATTTCTCTTTTCGGTTTCATCCACGGAGTAGTCCGAAATCACCGCAGCAGTAGAGAACTTTTTTTAAACGGATTCGGAGATCCCGAGAATCACGAAAAATAAAAAATTGTTTTTCTAAAATTTTTCTCAGTATTCTTAAAATATGTAAAAATATACCCAAAAATTTTTTGAAAATTTATAGTGTTTTTTGTTAATTCTCAAAAGCGTTTGCTTTTAAGCTGTGACACTAAGTGTGCCCTTTAATCTAAGTATATAAGATTTTCTATCACTTAGAATAAATGTTTACCTATTCGAAATCTATTTTTATTTATATTATTATATTTTTTATTTACATACATATATAAAATCATTATAACAAGCCCAGAAAATCTTAATGATATCCTTCAAAATAACATATTATTATTTAAGCTATCTAATTGTATCAACCTTAATACTTGTGAACAAACCTTTACCAATATATTCATTGAAATATATCAATACTACCATACGTGTAAAAATGTTAATTACATATACATAAGTATGTATATGTAGACGTGATATCCCACGCACCCAACACTGATTATAAACTCCTTTCGCGAGCTAATTTTTATGCCATATGCTATCGTTACCATATCTCCACATATGCCACAGCTCAGCCTCAAAGCCACCAACTGTCAACTGCCACAAAATCAAAGCTACTACACCGGCGTCAAGCTGGCTGTTATAACATACGTAATCACACGTACAAACATATTTACACCAGTGGTTGTCCGCCCTGATATGACTTAATATGACTTATTGGGGCACGCGTCTCTGTATCACATTTTTATCGCATGTAAACAGCAATATTAGCAACCGAACAGTAGCAATATAAGCCGAAAAAACAGCAAACAAGAAATCAATGACAAGCAATCGAATTGACATGAAACTGTCAAAACTATGCACATACAAGTAACCATTGCCGTTGACAAAATATCTAACGAATTCTGAATGTACGCTTTTATTGACAACAAAAATTGTATCGAAAAATCAAATGCGATATTATCGCAATCCAACAAACAAAACACCTATAACTAAAATAACAACAACAATAAGCGTACCAATCAATAAATAAACATGATTTTGCATTCGTGTTAAACAAAAGCGACTACCGTAACGCTGCGCCAATGAAACGGTGTTCAATATGCTTACATGTGTATGTAGTGCATGTACGACTGATACGCCGGTTATGATGCGACCGACCCCCCTTTCGTCGCCTCGCACTCATATCAGCGCGATAAAACAATTCAATTAATTTTCTCGTATCACAACGTCGGATTTGATTTTGCTTGTTTAGCGCTTTCAGTGATCAACAAATCATAATTTGAATTTCGGTAATTATTGATAGTCTTGATTTATGAGCGGCTAGGCCGCGCTGAGTGGACGAATTACTGTAGTTTGCTACTAGTATTTGCGTTATCACTAACTAAATAGCGCGCATACTTTGTCATTTCAAGTGAGCTTTCGTGCGCTTTCGTGTGTGTGTTCGTGTGGCTGTGCGCGTCTAAACGCTGCGTATAAGAATATGGCAAATATGGCGACGTCAAGTACCGCTCGCTAACAAATAGCTCAACAACACACATTTTTATGACTTTTCGGCATGTCCAATTGGCGTGTCAACAATCAATCGCTTTAGCTATGTGTTTGCATTTAGTTAATTGTGATTTAATTAGTTTTAATTGTGCGCAAAGTGGCGGTGAGTGTGGAGCGCGGTGGCAATGCAAAGGTATATGGGATCGCGCTTATCAAGACGGGCGCAAATAAACTGGACTAGCTACCGTGACTTTGCCTTAATCATCGATTTTCGATTGATAGTCGCGCGCGCTGCCGTTAGCTGAGTGTAAAGCTTTGATGGGTCAGCGCGAGGTGGCGCGGCGCAACGCTTTATTGGCAAGAAATAAACAACTTTGAAGTGTGAAGTGTGTATTTGAAACGATAAGCGCTGCCACTGGCTGCGCGTTAGATTGTGTTTATATAGTATCTATAAGATACGCACTTGGCAGCAGAGTAAAAGTTTGTATTGCGCGCCTGCGGTGAGTAGCTGGCCAAATACAATAAAAATCTCTTAAATGATTGTCAAATATTTTTTCGTTGATTACGCCGATTACACAGCAAATACACACACTCGTAAATAGTGCTTGCCGACCTACCTCTATGTGTACCTATGTCTACTGCAACATTTGATAATTGTTTATTGTTATTGTTATTTTTGTTGTGGTGAGAAAGATGTTTATTGTATTTCTTATGCCAACATAAATAAGTACGATATCACCTGCCTATTATTATTATTATTTTTATTTAGATATCAGCAAACATTTTGAGTTGTTGAACAACTTCATTGAGCTCAACAAGTATTGCTGCTATTCTATTAAATAAAATATGCAATTATAAATAAAAAAAGTAAATAAATAAATACAAAATTCGCT